ACATCGCGTCGTCGGGCGGACGTACACGTGATGCACAACTGCCGCACACCTGAGCAATACGTTTTCGATGTGGCCGTATCTGTATCAAAGGTAATGTTAAAGCACAGTTATGGAGGGCACGCCGGTAGACTGAAGACAAGCTTCCAAAGAACCATTGTAGGATAAAAGTCACCACCTTCAACTAGGCCTTTCACATTGGGAATAATAACGACTTGGTAGAGGAGTATTTCCTCGCTTTTAAAATTTTGCTCTCCTGTTAAGTGAGCCAAGTTCACTATGGAATTTCTCTTTCCCTAATAACCCACTAGAAAGCTCGGCGAAGATTGAGGTCCAGGTACATCATGCGCTGATCGAATGAAGCTATCGGAGAACCGTTGGCCGCAAGCATGTTGCACGTAGGCTATGAGTGCTTGTCGTTCACGTTCACAGGGATGACGCTGACTTCCGTTCCCTTGTTGATGAGGAACGTGATAGAGGAACGTCGAACCTTAACGTAAAACAAGCGATTTGTTTGGTCGTTGACAGATACTTTGGTCGTTCTAGTATGCGGGCTATTTGCTTTCCCTGAAACGGCTGAGTCGTGTCTAATGCAGGGAGCCCGACAACGTCTAGCTCTTCCACCGTATTGGTGTTGATATCAACATAGTTCTTCGACGGATTTGGTATTATCTAACTGAGAACGTGCAGGGAAAATGTTGCGCTTTCGTGTCGAACGAGACGTACTCGATGCAGGTACAGACGAGCCGCGATGCAAGGTACCCAAAACTTGGTCAGCATCTGACCGTGGCTCAAGCTGCTTCGAAGTCTCCGTTGTTGCTAGGCTACTTCGAAGCAGCGCAATTTCCTCGTCTTTTGGGTCAGATCGGCCTGACGACTTGGAGCAATTAGGAAACTCGGTTTTCATGGATGAGCATACGTCAACGGAGCTACTGGTAGCCTGCTGCGGAAGACGTTCGAACGCAGCGTCTGCCTTGGTGGCTAGTTCTTTCAGAGACGTATTCAACAACATGGACAGCATTACCGGCAATGGCTCTGGAAGACGTGCAAACCACAGTTCCTTTATCCCTTCTTTACTCAATAATAAGGGACCAACGATACGCTGCATTTCGCGGACCAACGCCAAAGCCTTAGGATCTTCCAGCTTGACACCATTGAACTGTTCAAATCGAGCTTGTGCGCTTGCTTCATCTTTTCTTTGTCTCATTAGATGGGCAAAGTAGTAGGTCCTCAACCAGCGTCACAACCGACGAAGGAAGGTATGGGACGAGCTGATTGTACCTCGGACGGTCCGTTGTAACGCCGTTATTTTCCAGTTCGATCTCGAATATCCCAAATCAAACATCTGGGCTGTGTTCTATGAAACTTGGAACAGCCAAAGTAAGCATGTTTACGCTGCGAAAGGAATCAGATGCCACTTTCAAAATGTGAATCAAAAACATAAAGGATGAACAAAGCACGATGAAACTACTAAACTTACGCAATAAATCAATGCACACGCGTATATAATCGAGAAAATGGAACGAACTCACCAAAAATACAAAAGACGAATAAAAGTTTGCACTCGCGCGTGCGAATCAGGGTAACCTATTTATAGGACTAGTAAATACTATTCCGAGACAGTGCGCGAAAGTAAGCACGGTATCAGAAGGCAACTGGAGTCGGACAAAGAGAACTTTATTCGATGGGCTACGAAAATACGTGGACGGATAAAGCGAGACAAAAGCAAATACGGAAGCAAATACGGTCAAGCGTCCAGCCGGATGTAGGTCAACATGGACATAATGTAAGCTAGATTAAAACAAGAAATAATAGTGTATAATTGGTCATCGGTGAAATTGTGCACAAAAGATACTAGCTACCTTTTGGAGCGCTACAGGTCGACCTGTTTGCAAAGGTTAGGTTCTATTCGTCGGATGTCAGAGACTTCAGCGAAACGAAGCAAGGTCGCTTTGTGTTGTCTGCTTATAGCCTTGAATGCGTCACGTAGGTTACCGCACATGGTACAATCGCGCAGATGCTGAGCGAATGAGCTGGCAGGGAGTTTAGGGCCACTATTTGCCAGGTTCCGGGAAACATGTTCCAGTATCCTAGTTGATAGCCTTCTGTCGGTTCGGCTAATGTACATGCTACCGTAAGTACAGGTGAATTGGTAAATTATAATTGCGGTGAAACAACTTGGCTTTTCTCTGCATTGGTCATATACTATGAACCTACAAGCTGCAAGGGTTAGGAGTGAAGTAAAATCAAACATCATCTACGTACAGGTTGTATTTGCCAAGGCTGCTGATAGTCGCTTTCAAATTATCCTGTTCTACATCTCGCTTTGTATTTTGAACCACCAAATAAACTCAGCATCTCTGGTACATTCATTTGCGATGATCGCGAACTTTCAGCAGCCTTCAGTAAGAAGTTCAAGAACGACGAACAAGAATCTGTTACACGCAGCTCCCCATGCATACGCGTCAGTCTACATAGCTAGATTTAGACGCAAACCATCCGACAATAATTGAGGCGGACGTGTCGAAGTGTTGCAGAATGCAGGTGGACACTTTCAACATATCCTTCCATGATACCTATGTCCGGCCAACCCTGCTTCTGTAATTATATATATCCTCGATTGTACATGAATTGAAGACTAAATCGGTCTCCGGCTGAATGGTGCCAATGATGCGTCGGGGCGAATTTAGTTCTATGAGCATTACGTGCTTCTTCAGCAGTCTGCGTCACTCTAAACACTGTGATACTTTAGGGGTATCCGATGCCTACATATTGGCCCCACTTGGTGCAAATGTTCTCCCATTCACACCGAAGCCATAAGTAAGAGATTATTGAGGTCTCCAATACCTTGTTTATAGGCAAGTTGGTTATCGGTCATGGTGTTATTGCACACCGAGTTTCTTGCTTGTAGCAGAGGCCTCCGTTTGGATACCGTGCAGCTTACCGATCCGTGTTAATGCACCTAGTCTATGCAACCTCGGCAATCCATATTTTGCTCCGTCATGTCTGCGTTTGTGGGTGGCTACCCAGGTGAGCGAGAGGCTTGGTCAGGCAGGTACTTCAACAACCTGGGGAACAACCTGGCTCAGCCTATCTCGGTTACCCCAATCGTGGCTGAAGCAGTTGTTTCCAGAAGTGAAACTGTCATACACTGAACCATTGCATCCACGCTATTCTGCCGCCGAAGAAAGCCTGAAAACATACGCGTCTGTTATTGCTAGGCTCAAAGGTATAGTTTAGCGAATGGCTACTTCTGTAACCTCCTCGAAGATCTATAAAAATAGCACGAACATAAATGCGGCACAGAGAAAGCCGATAAGTACCCCGCCATAGAAATAAACCACACCAATCTTTATAATTGTGAACACTAAAAGCAGCATAAGGCACTAAAGATAATATCTTTTAATGTACCTAAGTACAAAGCAAGCTCAACTTTGAGCAAGTAACCGGACGATCTGAAACTGTTGGAACAAATCTGTCAGAAAATGGGTGCCCCACTTAAACCGGCCAAATTGGTTCGCATTGTCCGCCACGCTAACTCAGTTCTCTATGGGGAACCAAGATTACCTCAAGTGGCACTTCAGTCTGCAGGCAAAATAGAGACCGTTCTTTTGTCAGCTGACCATTTCCGTGATTCGATCCGGCCAAAACTCAGGGTGAGCAATGCTTTGGTCCGCCAGTTGGTTTTTGGCAATAAACCATCTGGTGCTTCACTTCAGTATCTTTTGAAGTTGAATCGCTAACGTTGGTTAGGTAATGTGCTCCGTACACCTGTTAACTGCCTTCCTCGGGGAGCATTAAACACTGTAGCTGCACTAAGTTGGGCGAAAACACGAGGTGTTCGATCGATGACGCGGCAAAGGGGTATGCAGAAACTGATCGAGAGACTTAGTCAGGTAGCTAGGTGCAATCTTCGTGGATGGGGGCCTTGTGCTACTTTAAACCAATGGTTAGAGACTTTATCGGACGCATTTTCGGAGTCACTGCCGCCCCTGCATTCGTTCGCTTGCGTTTAACTGTTCATACTTCAATACAATTAGCTTCATGCACCTCTTTCTTGCGTCCGTTCCTCTAATACCATATTTACCTCTAGCCGCATTTATTTATCATTGTTCCTTACTACCAAACTGACGACGGGAGTCGTGCAACTGTATCCACGGCACTTTGATGCCCGGATTAATGTTTATCAACTGCACAGAACTGAACTGAAATAACCGGGTACATTTTAAGGATCGTAGGTTATTAAGGAAAGAGAAATTCCATAGTGAACTTGGCTCACTTAACAGGAGAGCAAAATATTAAAAGCGAGGAAATACTCCTCTACCAAGTCGTTATTATTCCCAATGTGAAAGGCCTAGTTGAAAGTGGTGACTTTTATCCTACAATGGTTCTTTGGAAGCTTGTCTTCAGTCTACCGGCGTGCCCTCCATAACTGTGCTTTAACATTACCTTTGATACAGATACGGCCACATCGAAAACGTATTGCTCAGGTGTGCGGCAGTTGTGCATCACGTGTACGTCCGCCCGACGACGCGATGTCTAATTTTTACCACAGTACACCCTGTACGTAACGGTCACTTCAGTGCCACGGCTAAACATCGGTCAGTACAGAGCCCACAGGCATACAGTTATCCACGAAATATTTGACCTCAAACACAGATCAGGATGTATCGATAGTTCACATGTGGATAGTCTGTTTCTCGTTGCGGAGAAACGTGCAGCGCCGCGGAATTTGTGGTGGACAGACACGGCGATTGTGTGTGTCGGTGCATCGTGAGATCCGATTAAATATCCGGACTCCCATTAGAATTCCTTGGGGTTTTCTCAGGGCGCGCAATGTGCGGCAATTTACGGTGTCAATGAAAATCGGTGGACATATTCCTGAACGGCTGTGGTGTGTATCTGTTCTTTCTACAACGTCAATGTCCAAACCTAATAAACGTCGCAGTAACTACTTTTACGCATTATGTTCGTTCATTTTAAAATTGTTGCTTTCTCCCTAGGTTTATGGTGGAACAAGCAAATGAAAGCCTTCAGGAGCCGGATGCCAGTGGTCGGCTACCCATCCATGTTGCTGCTGTATCTGGTCAACCGGAAGTGCTGTCTTACCTTATCCGGGCCCTTTCTAAAAGATTGCGCAGTGTTAGCGTGCCCACTGAGTTTCGCAAACCTCTTGAGGATATCCTATCTGAGACTGAACATAGTGGTAGCCACACTCAATGCCAACACAAATTCAGAGAAAGGCGAATGTCATCCAAGTCGTGTGACGAAATCCAGGCGAGCGAAAATCTCGATATAGAAACTGTGCAAACTGCACAAACCGTGGCTGCGTCAAATTATTTGGATGTGCACCAGTGGACGCCACTACATCATGCAAGCTGTGAAGAAGCGACAAACTGTTACCAAGACTGTCTGAAGATTCTTCTGGACAACGGTGCTGATCCTATGTTACCCACTTTACAGGGCAAGACAGCGTTAGACTTGGCCTATGCAGCTGGACGATCGCAGGTATTAGTGGATGTGCTACCAAAGCGCCAGCTCATTGCACTTCTTGTTCGTGTCGATGATATAGTTCCTCTGCATGCACGACGAAGACAGCGAAGGACGAGACTTCCTCTACAGCAACTTTCGACGGAAAGTGTATATTTTCCTGAACCAGTTGCCGAAAAGTTATGTGCACCAGTAGACATAGAACTAAATCTGAAGTCTTCAACTTTGTTGGAGGATCGTACACGGAAGGGTTATTCATTTGTTCAGCAATTTCCGGAAAATATGGAGTTTGGGAGGGACGATCGTCACTGTAACCGATCTTGGGTTACCGGCAAAAGCAAAACAGACGGCACTAACGTAATTGGCATTTGGCGAAAAATACTTTTGAATGACAACGTAGAGTTGCTGGAGGCGCTGCGTGACTCCATGGTATGGAGAGAGCAGAAAATTAGTACTTCTGTGACGGAGCCAGATTTTAACGTCATCATGAATATTGGTTTGGTGCGAAGTGATGTGGGATTGACAGATTTTGATAGCGCACAAAAATTGAGTTTGGAACAGATGTCTGAACTGTTTGCTGATTGTTATGAAAACGGAACAGGCGTGTTCTCTTACGTGCAAGCGAACTATCAACATCTCTTAAGGGTGAACGATTTTCTCAGTGTATTACGAGCTATGACTGGATTGTTGACATTCAACTCTCTAGCTACAAATAAGGTGGTGATTCTGCGTCCGCTGTACAGATCGCTCTTGTTCCTGGCTGTTATATGTGGGCGCTTTAGAGTAGCTGAGCAGTTACTTAGAATGCGCCAGTTTGACGTTTTACCAGCTGCCGTCCTAGTGGCATTGATCCTTCGACGTTTGAGGAAGGAACCAAGCTTTCCACAACAAGTAAGGCCTGACGATCGTACATGGTTTCTCATTATTTGTCCATGACTGATTTATTTAAAAGCCCATTCACAGACGTATTTAGTTGTAGTGGCCAATTTTATACATTCGACAAGGACTAATCAACTGGTAGGACTTTGTAGAATTTGGAGCGCCTTAGGATCGATATACTATCGTATGTGGTTCGAACTTTCCTACAGCGTATTTAAAGTATTCTCCGGTAGCAATAGTTACCGTGATATGCTACCTGGTATTACAATGATGTAGAGTGAAATACCGGAATCATATATAGTGTAGTTTAACGAGATGTGGACTTACCTTGGAATCTTCGGTAGCTACTTGTATGCGTCCCGTCGTGTAAAGTAGTATAGGTACATCTTGACTGATTCAAGCCATCTCATGACATTTTTATTTACCCATTTAGACTACAGTCATTGGGTACCTAGTCAACAGAGAAAGCAACCTGACACTTAAAGCATGACATACTGCTTACACTTTAGAGAATGTGTACAGAAAATGCGTTGCATATATTTAACCTTGCAACGTTCAATCAACAAAACATGCATGTTGCTCTTACTGCCAAAGAAATGCCAATAGAACTTCGGCAAATTCGCATTTCACGGCAATGTCTGAAAGCTATGAAGCGTCGAGTCACAAACGTTTACTGACTGTTGGGTGTTTTGGATCATAATAATGCCGTCGTAAAACGGTACTTGAGACGCGCAAGCGAAATAAGATCGAAGCACACATCCTGTATACACATATGTTTCTCTTTTTCAAAATAAGGGTTACGTTTTAACTCCGCTTGCATGCACATTGTGATTTGGGCATACTTCTCAACATGTTTTCAGGTCAGAATATCACAGAGTAATGGTGCAATCATTTATAGCTTGCTAAAACGAGAATGCTTGGCAATTTATAGGGAAAACTACAAGATTAAAAGCACAGTGTCGATAAAAAATCTCACGGTGCATGACCCATTAAGAGGTTTGCATTAACACAGATGTGAGTATTCTTGTCAAATGCCGTCATTCGACGGTTAAGGGCTCTATCAGGTAATCTAAATGTGCCACGGTGTAACCAACTCGACTTTTAAAAGTGTCAAGGTATGTGGCATTATGTGCGCTGGGAGTGAGCCATAGAGTTGCAGCACTCAGAGGGCGAAAAATACTTCTTGGACACTCCAGTCGGCTATACTGCGAGATCATATTGAACTGGTGGCCTTTCAGAGACGTGTTTTGGGGGATACTCAAGTAATGACAGAAAGGGCCGTTGAGTTGTTTCAGGATCAGATACTCAATTCTAAGATAGCTTCGTAGACGTCTACACTGACCATTGTACACTTTTAAAATTTCCAGCATGAGTTGATAAGGAAGGAGCTACAAACTTCGGACGTTCTTTTTCGTCTTGCGTTGTACAGTTTCCTGGTCAGTTACGTTGCCTACGCCAGGGTTGCCAACTTGCATAGCCGCATGAGTGCGGTTCGACTTCACACATCTATTTGAGTTACTAAGCAGCGCCTGAAGACAAGGTGCATTTTCATTGCCTCAGTTTATGCCATACTGAATGTAGTTCAGAGGGGATCAAAGACGATTTCTATCAACAACTTGCATCTGACATCGCGATTGCTGCCAGGGACATGAATGCCCAACTAAGTCGTCTTTCAGACCCTGAACAAAACCTGGTCAACCACTTCGGAGTCGGTGCGCACAGTACAGACAAGAATGGTCGATTCCCACAATGGTGCGTCGACCATAACCTTTCCCTTAGCAGCACTGATGTACAGTTTAAACGCTGAAACCATGTCAGCTGGTGCCTACCGAATTTCTTCATAGCCTGTACCCAAATTAAACATATTGCCATCAGCGCACATCAGTATAAGTTTGTCGGTCAATTTGGAGCACTGCCTGGATTCCGACCATGCTCTAGTGCAGGCACGATTGGCAATTATTTTTTCCGCTTTAAGTAAGCGCCTACTTTCTAACTTTAACTGTAACTCGGACTCGCAGTCTGCAATTCAACAATAACATGAACTGGACTATCAAATGTACCCAAATGTCGAACGATGACTGAAGTCGTTTTGAAAGTGCCATGAAGAATGCCTTTGACGACAGCTTTGCACACAATTTGAGACGTTGCAACTGTGAATTGATCTCTTAGGCATCGATCAATTCGACCGAAGCAAATACAGGTTCCGATGAGTACTGAGATTCAGTGTGTCCATAAAGCTCTGAAATGACTTCTAGCAAGGAGTTTTCGAATCGACCGGGAATCATGGTGGATGTTAAGGGCTCATGAGATGGAAAGCCAGTGCTATTGGAAACGGCCGAGCGCTATTCCAACTCAATCGGAACACGAGTCCCAGGAAGCCATTAGTTAGGGAGGCAAAAGACAAGAAAGTGGATAGTTGATTCATTCTCAACCTCATCGACTAGCTTGATGGGAGGAAAATTCTGAAGAGCAGCAAGTCTTCGGCGACACCGTTTCTGCCAAATCACCTAAATCAATGTGGGGAGTTGATGTCTCACCTTCTACTTTGAAACAGATTCGACATGAGCTTTCAGTGTTGAAACGAAACAAGGCTCCTCGACCCGACAATCTTTCTCTATCTTTTCTGAAAGATGATGGTGACTATTAGTTGACTGGACTCGTTTCTCTAGTTAACATGATTTGGAACACTGAAGAGATGCCTCCCGACTGGAGACTATCAGATGTCGTACCCATCTTTAAAAAGGGCCAGAGTATTTTGTACGAAAATCACCGAGGCATTAGCCTTATTTTCGGTGTATTCAAATTTCTCACGGGTATCATTCTCCGACGACTTAGCTTTCCCTGTGAGAACCGTAGCAGCGAAAAGCAAGCTGGCTTCCGCCCTGGCCGGGTTGTATCGAACACCTGCCTACAGACAACCGACTATGGTGGTTTTCTCTGACTTGAAGGTCACGGACTCTGTGGACTAAACAAACTGGTGGCACTGCTTACCCATAAAAGGCGTACCGCCTAAATTCTTTGCTATTATTCTATCTCTCTACCGTGACTTCCGAGGAAGTGTAAGGATCTACGGGAAATCGTCTCCTGAGTTCCCAATACAATTAGGTTTCGCCTGCTTTGTCCTATATCTCCTTTCCACTTCAAAAGCAAAATGATCAAAATGATCATGAGTGACTCGGCTCTTTCATACTCTACCGGAGTGGAAGTACTGCTAAGGGATCGACTGACAAACTTGGGGTATGTGGACGATAAATCTCTATTTTAGTCTGATGCGGAAACTATGCAAACACTGTTATCTAGGCTGACGCATAGCGCTGCACGCCACAGAATGTGCTTTGCAACTTCAAAATGCCAAATACCGCTGCAGGACTGATCGACACACCCCCGGTTCTAGCCATCACCGAACAGCCACTGGAAGTGGTATGTCAGTTCGCTTACCTTGGTAGTTGTGTCATCTCTGGTACTCACATCACTAAAGAAGTTAATTCGCGTATCAACAAGGCCCGTGCGGCTTTCCAGAGACCCGAACATTTATGGGTACGGCGGGATATCAGCTTGTCGTTGAAAGGTAGGGTATATAACGCTGCGGTGAGGCCAGCCTTACTATATGGTTCGTAGTGAAGACAGAAATGCTCGGCCGTGTTTGACCACCAGTGCTTACGAAATATTGCTCAAGTCAGGTGGGAACACCGGGTGAGCAATGCTGTGGTCAGTCAGTTGATTTTTGTCACGAGTGCTTGCTTAATATTAATCCCCTACGTTGGCTAGCTCATGACCTTCGTATGCCCGTTGACCGACTTCTTCGGTGTGCGTTATGCGCCGTGACTGCACCAAGTTGGGCGAAACCGCAAGTTGGCCAGTCCATGTCGCGGCATAGGGCATGCCAAAATCAATTGAGAGACTTCGTCAGCCTGGTGCGTGCCGGCTTCGTGGACGGGGCCGCGGGATACTCCACACCAATGATTGGAGACCGTATCAGAGTTGGTGCAGTCACGCAGTCAGGGGTGTTTCTCTATTCGGTTCCTTGAATCTGGTTGTTAATTTTCGTTCCAATCTGATTAGTCTAACTAACCTCCCTTTTGCCTCCATTTTCTCTACAGTCTATTTTCATTCAACCACACTAGCTTGCTGTTGTTATTTATTGTTTTGGCGCTGTGATCAGCTGCAACGGGATGCATCTCACTACGGAGCTCGGATCATAGTTGTTCAGTTAAAGGGAACTGAACTGAAAGCGTTTTCTGCATGTGACCTGACGTACGCGCCAGGCTTTTGTGAAAGAAGTAAGGTGTTGCTCTTTCCAAACGCCCTAATAAGTAGGCCGAAGTGCTGCGTTTCTTCTTTAAAACATTTTCGGCCGGCTTTAAACAACCACCGTCATCATGGATGATCAGGCCGAGCACGCCAACGTGTTGTACAAGTTGTCCTAGTTGGCTACATAAGGTTCATCGGTGTTATCGGTAAAATGTTCTACGTAGTACATGAAGCGAAACACTGTCACATGGTCGCCGCAGTCCAGAGGAGCGCAGGTTGTTACTACGTTGATCATGAGTTCCTAGTATGGAAACGAGATCCAAGGCGGCCGGTTTGTTTCTTACCTTGAAACGAGTTAAAGAAGTGACCTGGTTACACAGTGCCGAACCAGCGATTAGCTCCTGCAGTTCATTCCTGTACTGCTTACCGAAGGTGAGCAGGGGTTCTTGGATATGCAGGCTGAACTCTGCTAGCGAGAGAACACGGCTGTAAGATCGTTCTAGTATAATATTCATAGCAGACTAGGAACTGTTCAATTTCCAAAGTGGTTAATGGTGGGTTGTATACAATGAACATTGAACAATGATTTAACACAGGTTAAGAGCGAGTGCTTGACACGTCCCGTAGGATAGTTGGGGTGAATAGAGTGAAACCAAAACGTATGTGATTCATTTACCTTGCGCCAACCGAGTTAGATGCGTTGATAATTAATGTGAGTGTGAAATAAAATCGTTGGCTAAAGCGTGGGAAAAGCAAAATAT